ACTAACAACCCCACTTTTGACAAAAGGTGGCGCTATTTAGTCCCTGCACCACGCCCGTTTCTGAAACTTTGCACATGTCTACTGGCTAATAAATGTGATGTGTCTGTTGAGTTTCATGCAATTTGAAGCATGCTAAGAGTCTCAAAAGCATCCTAAAAGAATTTCAAAGTTTGGGCCCTAATTAAGATTGTGGCAAGCAGGGTGGGGCCGTGTGGGAACGAAACAAGGATTGTGGAACGAGTGTTAATGAGCTGAGTCCCACGGAGGAGCTCCAGAATGATAAAAAGAGGAGTGACGACAGTGCAAGTCGAGAAAGGACCAGGGGCCTCATCGTTGCGTACGCACAAAAGAAGGCGTGCGCCGCTCTCTACGCAATAGTTGGTATTTATAAAAAGCAAACTTGACGGTAAAATGTGCGGTCCTTCACGCAAGCTCTGACCAAGGCGTACGCAAAAAAACGGGTGAAATGAGAAATGGCGACACCGTCGGCAGTTGGAAAAAACATGTGAAAGTGTGTCAAACTAGACGGTTGTGTAAAATAAATGGCAATACTGCCTCTCATAAATAACACGAAGACTTCACAAAGCAAGTCTTTGTAAGACAGTTAACAGTCTACACGAACACCCATGATTGACCTGCAACAGAAATACAAATTAACACAGGCCTATTTCCAAAAAGAAAGTGAAATATGTTCTGCGATAATATTGGCATGTTATACAATTCATCCTCATAAATAAGATGGTAAACAGAATGAAATAATGTACAAAACTGATATTCTCGCCAATGTGTCGGAGCAGATATAGCAATTAGATAGTAAACATGTCTTCATCAGCTACGGAATCATGGTATTCATGCATAGGCTATGCCTTTAGTTTGTTTTATTTTTTGATAAAATAACGTATGATGTAGGCTATCAAAAATGACCAACCATAGGAAATGAATGGGAAATTGACAAAAACACAAAAACTTTGAGAATTTTTGTGTGTACAATCTACAAATCGGCCACGATGCAGAAAAAAAGTGCTCAGCATTGAAGGGGTGACACTCTAAAACATCAAGAGTGCAAAACAGACATACCCACCCCTACACACACACATACACACACACTTGTATACACAAAAACACCAATAAATTGTGATTAAAGAAATCTGTTTTGAATATTTAAAAATCACAGCTTCTTCAGAAAATTACGACACTTGGTGACTTTTATGGCATTGGGTATGTGAACACACAAAAAAATTGAGGTCATGATTCGAGCAATTTAAGTGATCGTACAGAGTCACGCTTTTGCTCTTCTGTCAAAAATGACGACCCAGGAAATGAATGGGAAATTGACACACAAAAAAAAATTCTCAGAATTTTTGTATGTACAATCTACAAATCGGCCACAATTCTAAAAAAAAAAAGTACACCGCAAGAAAGGGGTGACACTCTACAACATCTAGAGTGCAAAACAGACACACCCACCAACACACACACATACAAACACACTTTTATACACACACAATAAATTTTGATTACAAAAAGTATGTTTTGAATTTTTAAAAATCACAGCTTCATCGCGATGTTACGAAACTTGGTGACTTTTATGGCATTATGTATGTGAACACACAAAAAAATGAGGTCATGATCTCAGTATGCTAAGTGGTCTTTAAAAAAATAGTCACACTTGTAGTCTTTGGTCAAAAATGACCCCATAGGAAATGAATGGGAAATTGTAAAAAAAATGAAAAAAAAAAAAGAATTTGTGAATATTTGTTTTTTGTCATTTTTTTATAAGAAATAGTTTTTGAGATTGTTTCAACTATATATACAAATCCACCAACAAAAAAAAAACAAACAAAAAAAAATGTGTTCATAAACAGCTGGGGAATTCACATGCCTCTCAACATGCCATCTAGTGGTTACACCATGATTCTACGCTTTTTCTCTATACTGTAACCAGATGGTGCTAATTTTCTTCAAAAAATATTTTTTTTCTGAAGGCCTAGACTCTATATTAAACTAAAATACTGCATTAATATATATATATAAATTTTTAAATAATATATATAGAAAATAATATATATTTTTCCATGGCAAAAATAAACCATAAATATTGCATAAATATTAATAAAAAATGTATTTAAATTGTCTCAAAATACTGAATTAAAAAGAATAAATATTATAGAACAAAAATAAATTGCATTGGTTTTACTGGGATGGAGAAAGTTTCATTTTTAGGTGTCCGGTCACTTTTGACCGGGAAGATAACAAGTGTGACTCCGAAACGAAGAGCACCTGAGGGTTAACTTTGATATTAATCTTTTGTGTGGGACAGTATCAAAGGCTTTTTGAAAGTCCAGATAAACACAGTCAACTATTTGTCCTCTATCCAAAGCTTGTGACCATTTGTCAAAAACTGTGAGTCACTGAAGAGAGGTTGACCGCCCAGATATGAAACTATATTGTTTAGGCTACTACTGAATAATTTATTTATTTATTTTTTTAAATATGATTGACTATATATGTCCTAATCAATTTTTCCATTGTTTTACTAACAACTGACGTCAAACTAACTGGTTGGTAATTTCCAACTAGAGATTTATTTCCTTTTAAATTGCACTAATTTGAGCCTTTTTCCAGTCATTTGGTAAAACTGAATTCTCTAATGATTTGTTACATAGTGCTGTTAGCGGTTCAGCAGTCGCCAGTTCCTTCAGGATCCTAGGGTGTATCAGATCCGGTTCAGCGGATTTATAAACATTAATTTTCTGTAAAAGCCATTTTGTATCTTCAACTGTTATTTCAAAATTCTCTATTTGTTAAACTTCCAGCCTTGATACTTTGGTATCTGCCCATCAGGCAAATCTTGGACTAAAGATTTTAAGTGAAGGCTACCGTGAAGCAAAACATTCAGAACATGAATGACATGCAATAAACATTACATAGTATATATAATATAATATATAGGCTATATATTTCTCACGTCTGTGAGGCAAGTTTTGGTTAATTTATGAGATGAGCTGCAGTTCACGCGTTGGCGCCTCCGTGTGTTGATTATATATGCTATATGTACTTATTATTACTGTAAGAAAAGGAATGGTCGAATAAAGTCGTTATTTTTGTTTGTTTTTTTTCCTCACAAAATGTATTCTCGTCGCTTGATGATCTTATGCTTGAGCCACTGTAGTCACATGGAATATTTAAACATTTCCTTCAATGACTTTCTGGGCCGTCAAGTTACAATCCATTAGGCAGCCTATGTAGCAGTGATCAACCTCTCAAATTTAATCAAAAATATCTTCATTTGTGTTCCGAAGATGAACGAAGGTCTTATGGGTTGGTACAGCATGGGGGTGAGTAATTCATTACTTAATTTTGATTTTTGGGTGATCTAACAATTTAAAGAAAAAAAATATTGATAAACACATATTTGGAATGTAATTAAATAACAAGTTCTTTGGGTGTCTTGTTCGTTATATTTATTTTCATATAAGTTATTTGCAACACCGTGCACGAGTGTGAATCATGTGAATCCCTCAATATCAGTCTTTGATCTCACAGGTGTCTGATCCACTGTGAGAAGCAAAATTTGTCCGGCTTGCCTGCGCTTTTTTCACTCCTCTTCTCACTGCAGCCGCCTAAGTTACTCTCGCATACATTTCAGGCGAGGCAAGGATGCATCTCAAACAAGCTGCTATAATTTAAGCAATCAATCAATCAATTGCATTTGATTAGCAAAAACAACAACAACAACAACAACATTTAAAACTAGTAAAACTGCCATAAATAAATAAATTAATTAATAAAAGTTCAATTACTAATTGGGATGGGGTCACTAATGACTTATCATATTTGGGTGTCCATGCATGGGATCTAAAAGAATGAAACCCCTGCAGTGGAAGATTGTAATTTACACTTTAAAAAAATTAGGACCCTGTTCTAGTAATTCTATGACACTTCTTGTGCATTAACCCACCTTGTGTGAGGTCTGGGTGGCATATTCCTGGCAGATAAATGACTCCACTGGATGTGCATTTTGTTTAAATATCCCCCCCAAAAAATCAAAAAAAAAAAAAAAAAAAATGCTTTCACTTGTCTTGACTGACAGTCAACATCAGGTTCCCAAATATTAACTTTTAAAAACCAAAGATGTGTAATGAGCGAGGTGTTTCTCACTATTTATCATGAATAAACACTAAAAATATAAAAAATAAAATAAAAAGTTTACTTTACAGATGGATGAAGAGTGAGAGAGATCGAGACTTTAATGTCCGTAGAGTTTGTGGTCTATGATTTAAACGTCTTGTTGACGAGTTTTGTTGCTAGGATACATTTGGGTCACTTGATCTGTTAAGGTGCGTTCCATTTGACAGGGTCCCTCCCTATGCAGTGTTCACTGCTCCCTACTCCCTGAACACGGTTTATCATTTGAAGTCTACTTCACTGACTTCCTGTGAAGTGATGTATCGATGTTCCCTTAGTCCCTATGCCGTTTGCAGTGCCCTTCGAACTGAACATGTTTGTTCCCTTCGAATTGGAATCTCACTTAAGATGGCGAAATACCCTGTGAAGTCCACTTCGCAGTCCACTTACGGTCGAATCAGATGACACAAATGATGTTCCTTACTAAAACAAACAAATGCTACATAAACAAATTAAAACATGCTTGCTTTTCCCAAAATGTTGACAATCAATGAATCAATGTTGACAAAAAAAAAAAAAAAAAAAAAAAAAAAAATATATATATATATATATATATATATATAATTGTAATTCTATTAAATTCATTAACATAAACCTGAAACATAAACCCGAAAATGCCTACAATCCCCATAATTCAATGAGAAGAAGTACGTGACGACCATCGCGTTCAAGTTCAAGACTCTTTCTAAAACTAGCCAATCACACGCCTCGAAAATCCTCTGACTTCTGCATTTCGCGGCCTGTGATTGGTCAAGATTGATACGCCTGTGCCGCGACGCGATTGTCGTGACTCGAAAACGTTAAGGAGGGGGAACGCGAATGGAGGCCGTTGGTGTTTTTAGAGCTGAAACAATTGAGGGAGAAATACATGAGGAAAACTCAAATAGAAAGCCTGTGAATGTTTATATTTAGTTATATCGAAACCCATATCTCATATACACGTATAACTGTGTCGGTGGAGGTCGTGAGGCAGTGCGTGTCAGTATTTAGTGTTTGTTTATAGTATTAGTGGAACTCAAAGGCCCGGATTCACTCTCTTCACCAACCTGGCGAGTAACGTTATTTAACCTCATTTGGTCCTGCTGTGGGCTCACTTCTCCTGTACATTCTAAATATGCATTGTAACCTAGTATTCATTGAGTTTTAATGCTGGAAAAGAAGTGTATTTCATAACATTGCCTTATTAGCCTACTAGCTTCTTCATGTTAGCATGAAGAATAGCTTCATGCTAGCTCTTGCTAGCCGTTAGCATGGATATGTTGTTTTTATCAACTGTGCTACTTTTTAGACCCTATGTCGTTTTCAATTCAAAAGAGAAAACGTTGGGTTAATGTATTATTTGCTTAGCGAAGGAAATAAAGTTGCTAAAATGACAGATAAACAGAAAACAGCATGTGAAATAAATATAATTAGCGTGTTATCCCACTAGCTTTTAGCTTTCTCAGTTTATTGCTGATTATTGAGGAACATTCGTTGCGCTTGCAATAATATCAAATGTATTTCTAGCATAAATTATGTTTAATAGTTTTGAGATTGTCCAGTTCTGGTAGCAAGCTAATGGTGGGCTATAAGTTATTATGATGGTAATATCATGGTACTGAATGATTGCCATATTGATGTTCCATGCCATTTGCTTATTAGGGTACTTCATGAAATTGAAGTCTAAAAATCAATATTTATTTTTTTATTGATGTTATAGCCACAATATTGCACTGCCTTTTATTAGTTGTTATGAAATGTAAGATTACACTTTGCTCCAGATAGTTTTTCTTATTTAAAGCACAAAAGGACTATACCCATTTAATTATTTGTGATTCATTTGTGTATGTAAAGTCACAGTGTTTGACTATAATATAAATATCGAAAGGTTTTATAGCATACCTTTTTGTTTAATATTGTTGGGGTTGCTTTAGTTGTTACTACTAGCTAGATTGCAAGCCAAGCCAATGATGGACTCAAATTATGAAGCTCGTTATACCATAGTACTTTATGATTGCCATATATTATTGTGCCATGACATTAGTTCAAGGAATAGTTTTAGAGCCTTGGCTTGTCTAAAATCAATGGTTTTGGTTTTTTTTAGTGCTGCTGTTAGTAGCCCTGACACGATCATTAATTTTTCTGCTGATGATTAATTGTCATACAAATATTGCGATTAACAATTTAATTCTGTTTTATGTCAGTATAATGTTCTATTTTTACTTTTGAGTACACTACAGTAATAAATAATATATTATATAATAACAAAATTATAATAGGCCCATAGTATTAACTTTTAATGCTGTGTAAATTAGTATTTATATAATTAATTCTAATAATATAATGTAATTGATTAAACCCACAAACCTTCATTTTGTATACCTGACCTTCTCTGTACTTGAGAACAAGGCAAGGGCAAAAATGTGATATAAATTTATACTACAGTGCACTATTATTGTGATTATCTCAAATAATTATGATTAGATCAAATAACCACAACCAGACATTAATTCAATAATCGTGTCAGGCCTAGCTGTTATAGAAGTTAGGATCTTGGAACTTGCACTGCTTTTTATTTTCTGTTGTGTATATCAAAGCTTACACTTCTCAGATTTTAGGCCTATTGCATCAGATTGTCTTTTCTTATGTTGGACAGTTACTTAATTTCAACCCTTTTTACTTTGTTAGTGAGACGTGTATAGAAACCAAACTCCTATTATAAAATTATTCGGATCCCTACGCAGTACGCACAGAAGCTCAAGTTGTAGTTGTCTTGTTTGAATGAGTTTACGAGTGCATCTGTTTTATAATAAGTAGCCCCAATATCTAAGACATGCGAAATGCAGAATAATGTTCATTTTTTTTCATTATGAACAGATGAATCTTGCAGCAACTTGTAAATAGTCAGCATTTGATTGCAAAACAGCCAGTGGGTTATTCATGAAACAGTTTATTATTGTTTACAGGGAATATGAGACGGATGCCACAATGACGTCTAGATTTGGAAAAACATACAGCCGAAGAGGAGGAGATGGGACCTCCAAGTTTGACGAGGTTTTGTCCAATAAAAGGGCCACGCTCAGCACCAAATGGGGTGAGACGACTTACAAGGCCAAGGTGGGAGCAAAGAGGCCTGGTTTAAAGACTGAGTTGACAGATCAGACCAAGAGGTCCAAGGTCTCAGAAGGTGATGGCTCAGAGGATCCGTTCGGATTCGACAGTGATGACGAATCCAAGCCGGTCACGTCTCGTAGCGTAGCCCAGTCTAAACCCAAAGTGTCGTCCACAGGGGGCTCCCAGGCCAGTCTGACGCTGGAGCCCAACAGTAGGGTGAACCAGCCTGCCAGCGTGGAGGCTGTGGCCCCCAGCAGGGCCCCTTTCACTCTCAGCAGTGAGAGAAGTGCTCACAAAGTGCCAGAGGACCCTGGGAAATTTTTCAATACCTCTACCACAGGTATGTTTTGGTCATGGAGGATTTCCCCCCCAAACTACTTTGGAATTGTTTTAATTTTCAAATGATATCTGATTTGTTCCAGCACTCCTGTTTAGTAGTTAGTAGTTATATGTGCTGACAATGTCGGTCAGGTGTTTGACCCATTTATCTCAACTGAAAGCATGCACTTTTTTTCACATTGTATAGACGTGCCCTAGATTTTTGTTTGTTTGTGGTTTTCTACTTGCCTGAAACATTTGACAAACTACTTTAATTTACTGAACAAGACTATATCGAAACATTACTACTAGGGCTGGGCGATATATCGAGTATGTACGATGTATCGTTATATTTTTTGAAACGATATGGAATGAGGCAATACCGTTATATCGATACCGTAGTTTGATATGAGCACATCTGAAAAATAGCGGAGGTTGCAGTGTGAGCTGCTGCAGTGAAAGTAGCTAGGCTACGTAGTACAATTTGTCCTAAATATGACACAAGCTTATATTAATTGCGTCAAAATCACTTTGATATAGTTAACAAGTTTAAGGCAGCTTGCCGCCCTGCTCTGACAGACACTGTTGCTGACTGACAGATAAACTTGCGCTGTTTAATGCGTTTGAGATGTGGTGCTTTCCTCAGTGCTCAACTTACATTTCACAGGTATATTCTCCATCTGTAAATGTTAGAAAGTAAAGCAAATATGTCCATTTCACAACAAATATGTCCATGTCAGAAGAGGACGAGCTTCTGCAAGTGAATCTCCGCTAAAATTCATGCTTCCTTGAACGAGCGCCGGCGCGCGCATGCGCGTGAATAGTACTACGTAGTACGCAATAATTCGGACTAAAATAAACATATTGCTAAAATATTTGTTGTTGGAGAAAATAAATGTGCCATATGTGGAATTTTAAACCTACAAGTATATAATTTTAATGAAAGTGAAAGTGATTATAATGGGGTAATCAAATGCAGGCTAATATAATTAGTTTGTGCGTTTGTTTTTGTTTTTATTTTCATTTTTAGTTTAGCTTTTAGTCAATATAAAAACAAAAGCTTTTTGCACATAATATATTGCATAGCCTATATTATATTTGTTTCCATATCCTTCAATATCAACATTGTTTGTAGGATATCATTGGGCCGAATGTGAATATATATATATATATATAAATATATATATATATTTTTTTTAAAATATAAAGATTTTCTTTACCTAAATAGAAAACGTAGAAAGTACCGAGATATATATCGTATATCGCCATTTGACCAAAAAATATCGAGATATGATTTTTTGGCCATATCGCCCAGCCCTAATTACTACGTTTGACTTTAAAGTCCACATTTAGCATAATGCACATCTTTGAAATTAGGGAGCAGCATGTATCAGCACTAAAGTCCTTGACAAATCCTTGAACGTCCCTTAGTTGCAGGGTTTGTCTGCAGTTTTTGCAGTTTCTCTGGCTCAGTGGCTTTTTGCTCTGATTAGGAGACGTGCAAGAGCATTGTGGAATTCCACTTAAGTTGTTTCTGGTGGATATTCAGCATCATTTACAAGTGCATGTGAATGCTTGGAAGAAAACATCAAGATTACTTGTGGTTTCTAATGGCTCATTTCCACTGAGCGTTACAGTTCGGTACGCAATTAGGCCTCATTTACACTGTCAGTGAAATGTGACCCAATTCCGATTTTTTTGCTCATATGTGACACAGATCGGATGTGTTCTATGACAGTGTAAACAGGAACAAAACGCATGCATTCGGATATTTCCAGATCGGTTTCAGGCTTCATTCATATGTGGAAATAAATCGGATATGTGCCAATGCGACTGTCATGTAAACAGGCAGATCGGATTTTCTGAGGCATTGGGCGACGTCTCCGCGGTTTAATGGCGATAGAAACCCCCGACGCGCTTCTGCCAAGGGACGGATGGCCGACGAAACGTGTCCTAGGAGAGTAATGTGGACAGGGGCACGGGAGGTGTTTTCACAGGATTGTAAATGTGCCGAAAATTGTTCATTTACATTTATTTTAAGCATTTAGTAATTTATTTGTAATAAACACTTTAAGTGGGTTATTTAAAACGTGCTAGGACTATTAACATGTTCAATTATATTTTTAAAACATAGGCTGAGCGCAGAGTGACGTGTGACATCATATTGTGTGTGCATAGAAAGAATTAATCCGCAGCCGCGGGCAAATGCTGAGGGCAAAGTAAAGTTTCATAACTTTATAATTAGGCTATTTTAATATTGTATCCTGCTGTATGTGTGACTGAAGCTACTTAATATAATGGCTAGCCTTTACTGATCAATAAAACTGAAATTTAACAAAAAGAGCTAAATATTAAATATATGTCACTATTTAACTTATTTTTTTGTGTATTCTGTAGTTGAAATGTCTTATTCTATTGCTATTATTATAGTATTATCAATAAACTATACTATTATCAATATTTTTATATAATTATACTAGTATTCATTGCCATTTTATTTGTTGTATACTATTTGTTTATTTTATTGACTAAACTATTTACTATTACTTCTCACTTTATGTTATAATTACTATTTGCATTGCACTGTATGCCCAGTTGTACCACAACATATGTATTATCATAAAGGATCCATCAGTAATCAATGTTATTGCTTAAATCTGGTCAATCACATAAAATGCCTTTTCCACAATGAGCAAACTTAAATATCTCAGTATGGGGGGTCTTTACCATTCTTATCCAAGAATGTTTTTATCCAGAAAAAATGCAGCTCACCCGTTTACTTGCATTTAATTACAGTGTAGTCTTGAACTCCGCAAAATGGCGGACACGTTGACGTATCGCAGCAACGTTCCAAAGCGGCCAATAGGGCGTCTATGTATTTATTATGTCTATGGCACAGTAGTATGGTACTAAAAGGTGGAGCTAGTCTCACTGCAGAACGGTGATTGGTTGACAGACTATCGTCACTTGTGTGTAGGGATGGGACGGTATGAAAATTTAGTGTCCAAAATAATCGTGATTATCAATATTATCACGGTTTTTGTAAAAAATTTATGAAAGTGCTCAAAAAGAACTGATGCTCACACTGAAAACATTTCATTTCATTTTATAATTGAAAATCAACAAACAACAAATAAAACAAGCCTCTCTATGCAGTTTTTTAAGCAAGATTCTATTCTATGGCATTTGCTTCTTTATAATGCCCGTCGTCAATAGCAACGCATTATTACACAGCGCACATCCATAACATTCACAACGGACGCGCGCTCTTGTTTCATTCAAATACAACTTGCCGTCTTGCGTCTCCGGTTTTTGATTGTATTGCAAAAATGAAATCAGAGTTGATTTATTTTTTACATAGTTTGATAATATTGGTGTGATATATCTTGTCTGGACGATTGTTTTACAAAATGAATTCATAAACAGGTAAGATTTAAAACATTAGCTAATCTCATTATCAATTCAATATGTCCCCGCAATTATGTGGTAAAAATAAAATCGGTTTAATACGTGATGTATCTATACTTTACTATCCCTTAAAATATCACTCTTAATAATAGTCTTGTTTGAAGTTGTTCGTTCGTATTTGGCTCAAAGCCACTTGCTACGAACTTTTCTTCGCGGAAGCTTGACGTCTATTTCAAGTGAGTGACATAAAATGTTTCAACTCAAAACAACATTTCGTGCCCAATTGTTTCCCAGACGTAGTTTTGGTATTGAGGTCAAAGTTAACTTGCCTTGCGTTCGGGTGATGATCACACAAGACGACTCGGCAGATTTGAAGTGTTTCTATTGTAGTGACTTTTTGTTCGGCAGACAAGGTGACCATCCTCGATCAAGTTTCCCTCAGGACTTTTGTAAAACCCAAAATATGACCACACCTCAGATTTGGTCCTCTTAAAAGGCTGAAAAACCTCCTGAGCACGGTCACTGCCTTCCGCCATTCCTTCTCGAATAGTAATTTAAAAAAATATTGTGTGCTGCGCGCCTGCGTCAGACTGGCCGACAGGATTCAGTGAGTTAATAAAATCGCGATAATCAAACACGGTTTTAAAGTCCCCGTGAAATCAAAATTGAACCTATTTACTTTGTTAGCGCATATTACTAGTCTTGTGGTGAACAATTAATCCGTGCAAGTAAAAATATATTTAAAAAATGTTTTACCTTGGTAATCTTTAATCAAAATCTGGAAAGTTACTTCCGGTCTGGAACGGTTTCTTTTTCTGATGACGTAGGTTTCACAACTTGGGTGGGGAAACGCTTAACCACTCCCAACCGTTAGTTTGCAATGAGCGAGAGATGGAGAGGAGGAGCGCTGGAGTAAAACCCTGCCCTCTGTTCAATATTCCGTTTCACTTGGAAATACGTCACAGCACTGGAGAAAAATCGTTTGCAACTTCCGGTTCACGGGGACTTTAATGATAATTAAATTTTAAACGATAATACTAACCGTCAGTACCTTTTATCAAGGTTTATAGTGAAACCGGTTATCGTCCCATCCCTACTTGCGTGTGCTACAAGGGCATTAGAAGTGCCACTTTTTAATATACAGTAGAAAACTAAAACTGTTATTGTGTCACAAAATGTAGTTTTAAGAGTTTTTCAGGCGAGAATGCAGTTTTTTAAAGCTCAAATCTGTGGTTAATAATAGATTTATGATAATTTGACTGAGAACGATTCAAAGCAATCACCGGACCAGGTGCTCGGTGCTCGTGCACCCTGCCTGGAGCAGCCTTTCGTCGTCTTGTCATTCTGATGTTTGCCACTGACTGACGTCTCTGTAGTGGTTAAACATGAGATATAATTTGTCTTGTATAGACCTAACAGGCGATCTTTGGTCTCGTGAATCTATAATTCGTTCCCTGGCCAATAGTTTTGGCAGAAGACTAAGTGAAGTTTAATATATTTGAGTGCTGAATTTGTATATTTGACTGAATTGTTGCTATACATTACATATATTGCCTGGAATATGTTTAATATTTTTAAATTTAAACGAAAAGACGCATGGTTGTGTTTTAGATT